TTGAAAGCTGAGAAACACTTCAAGTTAGACCTTTTGCACCAGTTTGCTAAGTTGTGAATGCAAAGGAAGTTCTTGGAGGAAATTAAAATGCTACTCTAGTGAACATATGAATGATAAGAAAGTCAAATAGCCTTATGGCTAACACGGAGAAACTTTAGTGGTTTGGATAGAAGATCAAACCAGCCACAACATTCCCTTAAGTGAAAGTCTATTCCAGAGCAAGGCCCTAACTCTTTTCAATTTTATGAAGGCTGAGAGAGATGAGGAAGCTGCAGAAGAAGAGCCAGAAGCTAGCAGAGCTTGGTTCATGAGATTTAAGGAAAGAAGCCTCTCCATAATACATAAGTGCAAGGCAGCAAGTGCTGATGTAGAAGCTGCAGCAAGCTGTCCAGATCTAGCTAAGATTAGTAATGAAGGTAGCTACACTAAACAACAGATTTTCACTGTAGAACAAACAGCCTTTTATTGGAAGAAGATGCCATCTAGGACTTTCATAGCCAGAGAGGAGAAGTCAATGCCTGGCTCCAAAGCATCAAAGCTTCAAAGGACAGATTGACTCTCTTGTTAGGGGCTAATGCAGCTGATGACTTTAAGTCAAAACCAGTGCTCATTTACCATTCCAAAAATCCTTTGGCCCTTCAGTTTAGCTTAATCTACTCTACCTGTGTTCTATCAAAGCTTAGATTGACAACATGGTTTACTAAATATTTTAGGCCTACTGTTGAGACCTACTGCTCAGAAAAAAAAGATTTCTTTCAAAATATTACTGCTTATTGACAACACACCTGGTCACCCAAGAGCTCTTATGAAGATGTACAATGAGATTCATGTTGTTTTCATGCCCACTAACACAACATCCATCCTGCAGCTCATGGATCAAGGAGTAATTGTAGCTTTCAAGATACATTATTTAAGTCTTATTATATATTTCATAAGGCTATACAGTAGCTTCCATAGATCATAATTCCCTGATAGATCTGGGCAAAGTCAATTGAAAACCTTCTGGAAAGGATTCATCATTCTAGATACAGTAAAGATCATTTGTGATTCATGGAAAAAGGGCAAAATATCACCATTAACAGGAGTTTGGAAGAAGTTAACTCCAACCTTCATGGATGACTTTGAACAGTTCAAGACTTCAGTGGAGGAAGTAACTGCAGATGTGGTAGAAATAGCAAGAGAACTAGAATTAGAAGTAGAGCCCCAAAATGTAACTGAATTACTGCAATCTTATGATGAAGCTTAAACAGATGAAGAATTGCTTCTTATGGATGAACAAAGTGGTTTCTTGAGATGGAATCTACTTTTGATGAAGATGCTAGGAAGATTGTTGGAATGATAACAAATGATTTAGAATATTACATAAACTTAGTTGATAAAGCAGTGGCAGTGTTTGAGAGGATTGACTCCAATTTTAAAAGAAGTTCTACTGTGGGTAAAATGCTATCAAACAGTACTGCATGCTACAGAGAAATCATGAAAGGCCAAGTTAGTGAATGCAAACTTCACTGTTGTCTTATTTTAAGAAATTGCCACAGGCACCCCAAACTTCAGCAACCACCATCCTGCTGCATCAGAAGCCATCAACATCAAGGCAAGACCCTCCACCAGCTCAGATGATGGTTAGCATTTCTTAGCAATAAAGTATTTTTAAATTAAAGTATGTACATTGTTTTTCTGACATAATGCTATTGTGCACTTAATAGATGACAGTATAGCATAAACATAACTTTTATATGCATGGGGGAAAATGTGACTCACTTTATTGCTATATTCACTTTATTGTGGTGGTCTGAAACTGAACTGACAGGTATGCCTGTAGTTTGTTGCTGGCAGAACACAAAGAATAAGCAAGATGTGGAGATGTGGCAAGAAATGAGATGGCAAAGAAAGATCAGATCAGAGAAAATCCTAAATGGCATGCTAACAAACTTGCATTTTGTTTTGTACATCACAGAAGATTTTTGAAGAATTCTTAACAAGGGAAATAAAATGCTAATAATGTGGAAAATGGATTTAAGGAAAATAAAGCTTTATGCAGAGGCATAAGTTAGGACGAGCTGGCACCCTCTCAAAAGTTTTGAAGGAAGGTAAAGGTGAGAGAGGAATATTTCCTAAGAGTCAAATATTTCCTGTTATCTGGAAGGGATTCTTTGCTAGGGTGATATTTTAACAGCAGAACTCATATAAAAGAAGGGCATCAGTGTCAGGCAGTCTGGAGGAGTCTGTAATAAAAAGTAGAATCACTGCACATCTGAAACAGTAAAAACTGATAGACTAGAGGAAATACAAGTTTCACAGGGGAAACACAAGTTGCTTAATCTATAATCCTTTGAGGAAACATTGCATGGACAATGAAAAACTAAATGAAAATAAATTATTTAAAGCTAGTTGTGTGTATACAGTGGATTATAAAGTAGCTACAAAACAGGAACTTTAGATATTTTACTGCATTTAACTTGGAGATGGGGAATCAGTTTCAGAAAGTGCATCCTATTTGTCCAAGTTACACAGGCACAGCTAGTATGTGGTACAGCTGAATTTAAAAAGCCCATTTTGAAAATTTATACTGTACTAAGCTACATATTATAGTGCATTGCCTTGGAGTAGGGAATGTAATAGTTTTATATCCAAATCCTAATCATACTTTCACTTTGAAGTCAGGAAGACCTTGGCTTGAATTTCCAGTTCTGAACATCTCTGAGACTCAAATGTGCTGCCTCAAATTTGTAAAATGGATGTAGTAATAATTACTTCAAAGAATGGTTGTAAAGATTAAGTGAAACAATATATTTTAAAATACTAAAAATATTTACTTAATGTAAATCTAAAAATAGAAATAAAATTCCTTGCACAGTGATTGATGCATAGTAGATGCTCAGTAAATGTAAAATCACCTTCCCTTGAATCATAGTTCTATATCAAATTGTATAAAAATATTCATTAGGATGGGGCAGGGTTTTATCAATATATGTGCAATTTGCCAAGAGATTGGGGGAAAAAGGTAGGAAGAGATAAATGAATGTTTCTAGATAGGGAATTTTAAATGAGATACCTCAGTGGTTACTATTGGATGGGGTGTTTAGATTATTTGATTATTTTAAAATGCATAAACAATAAAATTCCTAAGCTTGAAATGAAACTGTAAACTTTTCCAAGTAGTGACACATGACTTCAATAAGGAAAAAGTATGGGAAAGATCTAAAAGACTGTGTGAACAGACAGAAAAACAGCAGGAAAGATTTGCTGTGAAAAACAAGGCCTATTGGGGAGATCTAATGCATAGCATAGTGATTATAGTCAACAATACTGTATCATAAACTTCAAAGCTGCTAAGAGACTAAATCTTAATTTTTCTCACCACAAAAGGAAATGATAATGAAAATCATGAGACATGATAGAGGGGTTAGCTAACACTATGGTGGTAGTCATATTGCAATATATAAATGTATCAAGTCAACACACCTTAAACTTACAGTCATTTATATCTCAATTATATATATATATATATAAAATCACTTGTATCAGATATGTATAAAAGATAGTTATTAGAATGCTACCCGCTTGCTTCATTGAGAACACTGTTATTTATAGGAATGGATGTGATAGGCATTCTGTAGTGCATGAAAAGAAGTGATTAAAAACACATGTAGTAAAGATGGTTATAGGAGTGGAAAAAAATAAAAATAAAAATCACCTATGGGATATGGAAAAAACCCTAAGGCTTTGGGAAAATAAATTTAATTAAAATCAACAAATTAATTCAGAAAGCAAATATATTTAAGTATTAAATAATCCATATATACAATACGTTCTAAGCTATATTTATAACCCACAAAAAGAGACCTAAGAGTTATTTCCTTACCCCATATATATATATATATATAATATATATATTCAGAAAAATTCCTTCAGTGGGTTCCTATTGCCTATCCCCTAAAAGAATCCAAACTCAACATGTCTTTTAAAGCCTTCCATAATCCAGTTATTTCAGTCTCATCCCCTACTATATCCTTTTACATATCTGTGGCCTAAAAGTCTCAGACTACTCATCATCAATCCCAAAATATAACTTTCATTGTCTTGCCTTGGTTTGGAGTATTTCCTCAACCTGGAATTCTTCAACCCCTTCTTCTCAAACTTTAGCAGCAGCAAAGTTTACCTGAGATTTTGTTTAAAATACAGATCCTGAAGCCTACCACCAAAAATTTTTATTCAAAAGGTCTGGGAAGACACCCTGGAATCTGCATTTTCAACAAGTACCACCCCGTACCAAATGATTCAGTGCAGGTGATCAGGGCCTACACTTTGAGAAATATTGGTATTGTAGAAAGAAAGAAGATCTGGGTTTCTTCCCAAATCTGTTATTTATTAATTACGTGACTTCAGAAAATTACTTAACTTTGCTCAGATTCCTTTTCCTCTCCTGTAGAACGGGGATGACAAAACACCAAACGTTGTGGTGTACATTAAAGAGTACGTTTTTATGACTGTGCCTCACGATCCCATTCAATGTTTTCCTACACGTTTTCTTCTTTATTCCTCTTGTTAGAATTAATTATGCTTTCCTTTTTGCTCATACAGCTGAATTGCTATTTAGCATTTATTTCGTTCTCTCTGACACAGTTAATTTATTAGTCTCCTAATCTGGCTTGTAAGTGCTTTGAAGGCAAGGACATTGTCTTTTTCATAATTGATTATGTACCTTCTATATGTTTTATACATATTAATACTAAGATATTAATATATTAAAAATAATAAGCAACACTATTGTAACACTAAAAAACTCTGTGAAGTGTTAATGAAAATTTGACAGTCATTCAGAGTTTTGAAAGTTTAGTCATATAGGGAACTAGATTAAGGTCTCATTAAGCAAGGCTCTCACGCCTATCCTATCTCTACTTACTAAGGATGAGATGAGAATGGAAAGTAACTGAGGCCAGGTTTGCTGAGTTAGGGTCAGTAATTATATCAATCTAATTCTTGTTAATTTTTCCAAGAAACAACATAATCCAACGATTACTAGCCATCCAAAATACTGGGAAAGGTTATGAGACCCAGAACCTCTACGTAATGCTGAACAGAATTGATGACTACCAAGAAAAGGTGATGCAGATTTGGACAGAGAAGCAGAAGTCTCTAGAGCAGAAACGGAATCAGTGCCTGAGGAAAATGATGTACTTATTTAGCCAGGTAATCTGTTTTCTATTCCCTCTCCCCAAGTGTGTTGTAAGAAAAGTGAAGGCGGTAAGCTTTGAAAATAACATTTACCCGGAGACACCATGTATATTAGTTTCCTAGTGCTGCTGTTAACAAATTACAAACTTGATGGCTTAAAACAACATAAATGTATTCTCTTAAGTTCTGGAGGCCAGTTCGAGAAATCAAGGCAGGGTTGGTTCATTCTGGAGGCTCTGAGGGAGAAATTTGTTCCAAGTCTCTCTTCTAGACTCTGGTGGCTGTAGACAATCCTTGGCATTCCTTGGCTTGTAGCTGCAGAACCCTGGTCTCTGCCTCTGATTTCCCAATGTGTTTTATGCCTTCTCTCCTCTTATAAAGCCATGTATCATTGGATTTAGAACCCACCTGGTTAATCCAGGATGATATCAGCTTAAGATTCTTACCTTAATTACACCTGTAAAGACCCTTTTTCCAAATAAGTTCAAAGTCACAGGTTCTGGGTGAACACATCTTTCAGACAGTTCACCATTCAACCCCTACACAGTGACTTCAGTGAAACTCCTAAATTGACAGCAGGAATACTGGCTGGACTCGTTAGATGAGAAAAGATTAGAAAAGGAGAGGCTTCCAGAAATGCTCAACTCCTTCCTAGTCAACCCACATCTACCAGCCTCTAGATATGAAAGCTCTTGAAGTCACTGCTTTCCAGATGATTTCTGGTGATTACTTCTCTCCTCAAAACTATCAGAAAGCAAATTTTAATATCATGCATTTACAAGAAAGGAGAGAGGAATTTAATTGCTTAATAGCACCAGGCACAGAAGATCATGCTAAATTCTGACATCTACTCATTATATCCCAGAGCTTTCTCTTACATAACCATCAGTATGCTTTTGAAAGTGATAATAACCTTACAAAAGTTATAGAACTGAGATTAGAATTCTTTGCTCTGGGATTACATGCTCCTGTTACTTTCTTCAGCATGGAGTTTTTGAACATTCTTGGAGTTCTAGGAATATTTTATATATCCTTTTCTTTCACTAATTAGTTTATAAGATTAGTGTACTTGCTACTTTAAAAGTTAATTCTCATTATAGCCTTATCCAAATCAGACATAGCATGAATTTTCCAGAAGTTACATTTTAAATATTAAAGCTCTCTCATCCAAAAATATTATTTTTGATGGTTCTGGGTTTGGAAAATATGACCAACGTAGATGGAGTAAAGAAAGATGAACTGGCATTGTCATGAGCTATCTAACAGGAACCACAGTGTCTAGGGCATTTCAGAGGACTATAATGATCCAGGGTCAGGGGAGTGAGAATCTAGATGATAGGTGGGTATCAAGGCATAATGAAGGGAGAGGAAAAAGCAAAAGGAAGAAGAGTGTAGAAATGAATAAATACCTTAAACTGAATTAAAGTGCTGGTCATGAGGTTGGTTCTGCTACCAGATTGTCTGGGTTCAAATCAGCTTCACCACATACTAGCTGAGAGACCCTGTGCAAGCCACTTACATTTTCTGAGCTTCAGATCCCCATATGTAAGACAAGGATAATAATAGCATCCACCTCATAAAGTTGTAATCTGACAGTCAATGTTATCTATCATTACATTTGCATAGTGCCTCACAATTTATGATGTTCTTCCAAATATATTATCTTATACAACTCTCATAACAACCCTATATTATTATCTTGTTTTAGAAATGAGAAGAGAGAGGTTCAGATAAAATTAACAACTAACACAGAGTCACACAATTAAGAAATGAGAGGACTAGAACTAGAACTTAATGCGGGACAAGGGTTTTTATATATCTTGGCTGCCAACTCTGAAATTGTGTGTTGGAGGTGGGTAGAGGTTGAAGAGTGGTTGGAGGAAGGGAAAATGCATGTGGGGAAAGAGGATTTGTAAATCCATGGAAAAGGAAGTGTCATAGTTTAGCTGGGGCCAACTCAGAAGACCTTCCTAAAGGTCTTTCTACAGATGGCCCTTTCTACAGATGGTTTCCTTTTTCTGTTTTATTTATTTTTAGCTCCAAGAGATTTATAAATTGAATCTCAGTCAACCTATCCCTTTGATCATCAACAAAAAGCAAATACATGCCTCTACCAAATTTGTTCAACGGACATTCCTAGAGCTACAAAAAGAAGAGGACAGAAAGTATGACATATTCAAGAAATTTAGGTATGTGGTAGGAAAGACTCACATTAAACTTTCTTTGGATAATATGTGGGAGTTAATGCTTTTTTTTCTGCCCAAGAGCTTCCCCTACTCCACAGTTATAATTGGTGCAGTGGAGAGTCTAAGGGAGTATTGATTTTCTTAGCTATTTTAGCAAGAGACTCATTTCTACTTAAATATTTAACATCTAATTTTGAGTTCTTTTTAAAAAAATGAAGTCGATTCTTCATTACTAAGAAACAAATTATTTTAATACACAATGAGTAATTTTATAAATTTATAATCACAAAGCAAGAAGCATTACTTTTTTTTTTTTTAAGCAAGTAGGAGTTTTGGGAATGAAGGGGGAAAGATTGTTGCTGGGGAAAAAAAATCCTGGATATGGAATGTATGCTCCATGAAGCTAAGAAGGTAGTTTTAAAATGGATTAGTAGGTGAAGTCATGGAAATGCAACTTTCAGGGAAAAAAAAGCAATTTCAGCAAATTCTGCTGTTTTAAACCATCTCTCAGTCAAAGTGGGCATAGCTAATGTTCCTCAGTGCCAGGAAGGGCTATATAGGACAGGAAGGTGGTGAAGAGAAGTGGGGAGAATAGGAATTGTATATTTTGATTGGCTATGGAGCTCAGAAGAATTTGACACATCCAAGTAGCGCTCTCTGATTCTCTAGACAAGAAGACCAAATAAAAGCCATCTGGAATGCTGATCTATCCACTTCAAGCTACCCAATAACAGAGAAGACACCAATGTATTCATTCTGGGCCCAGCTGGGTGGGTTCCCAGATATTCCGATGCTGCTCCAGTTAGATGTTCAGTCTACCTTCAGAAGATCTCTTGCATGCCTTCAGTCAAAGTAAGTTAGTTTGGTAATTGGGTCTTTGGTCATATACCTTTTGTTTCCCTGACTTGACTTTCTCTTACAGCACCAGGTAGTTATCAAAAGTAGGTTCTTGATGTGAGGTCAGATTCACACCAGTCATAACACAGTACAGGTAAATTCAGCATTAGTCTTTTAGTGTTTCTCTTCATAGGCCTGCAGATGTCACTACTGGAATAATATAAACAAACAAAAAAGCAGTTATGGTCCCATGAAACCTAACCTAACACTAAATAGGTCCGCTTTGAATTCCACCCTTAGGGGTTTATTATTGGAAGTACAGAAAGTCTGTAGTGGAATGCTTTTGTCCACTTCATGATTCAGTAACATGACCTTAAATGCAGTTGTCATATCTAGGCCAAATTTGAAGTAAGTTAAATGCTTATATCCCAGGATACAATGAAGAGACTTGAAGAGAACAGGTAAGGTGGTTATGTGGTTCCACATTTCCAAATTCTGTTAAACCAGATTTTCACTGAATCCATTGGAAATCACTCCAGTGGAAGTGAAGAGTTTTGGAGTCTACATTACTTTTATCAGGATAGAGTTTAATTTAATGCTTAAACATTTAGTTTAATGTTCTAAACTAAGAATTTAGAAAATGAACTTTTGCAACCTGAAAGAGTTCATGGGAGTAGTCTGATTTATTAGGGTAAAATCCAATTCTTGGGGTAAGAAGAAATAGTGTTAATGCACAGATTTATTTAGGTGGTAGATAGTATGAAATAAGACACTTAAAATTCTATAATAAAATAAAAAAATAGCTAAATATTATCATATAACATATACAATATAAAATCATATACCATGATCACAAGTGTTCATGGGAAAAAAGCAACCAAACCAAATGTAGCCATTTAGTTGAATAAGCATGACTCCTAAGTTATAGTTTATAATCAGAAAGCAACTCTCTTTTTGTCTCCCATTTTCCCTTATATTTCTTGGAGTGACTAATTAACTTAGGTTATTTGGAGGGACAGCATTCTAATTTAATGACTATAGTGCTTGGGACAAGATGTAGAAATTTTTCTTTGAATATTTCCCTTATCTCCATTCCATAGCTATCCTCAACTATTAGATCTCCTCCTGACCTAACTATTCACTGCTTACTCATGTTAAATCCTGCAAACTTAGTGAGACACTTACTTCCAGTTTACTGTTTAGATAGAAGGACTCAGAATCAAGGATCTTTTTTTTTTTGCTTGTTTTCTCATTTTTTTAGGTATAATATATATATATATTGAATCTCTTTAGGGCACAGTTCCGAATTTTGACAAATGCATAGTTATGGCAACCTTTAATTTATTTGCAATACCTATAGTTTTCCTTTTCCAGAATGTCATATAAATGAAAGTATGTAGTATGTTACTTTTCAAAATTTATTTATGTATTTATTTATTTACTGAAGTATATATCGTATTTACAATGTTGTATTAGTTTCAGGTATACAGCAAAGTGATTCAGTAATATATATGTGTATATATATGTATATCCTTTTCCAGAATCTTTCCTTTATAGGTTATTACATTCCAAGACATTGAATATAGTTCCCTGTTCTATACAGCAGGTCCTTGTTGTTTATCTATTTTATATATAGTAATGTGTATCTGTTAATCCCAAACCCCTAATTTATCCCTCCCCCCTCCCCTTTCCCTTTTGATCTCCGCCCATCTATGTAATCTTTTGAATCTGGCTTTTTCCACTTGGCATAATTTACACGAGATTCATCCATGTTGTTGTGTGTATCAGTAATTCACTTCTCTTTACTTACTGACTAGTATTATTCCATTGTGTAGCTGTACCATATTTGTTTATCCATTCACTAGGTCAAGGACATCTGAGTTGTTTCCAGTTTTTGGCAATCACGAATAAAACTGCTATAAAAATTCATATACAGGTTTTAAGGTGAAGTTTTCACTTATCTTAGAAAACTACCCAGGAGTGGGATTGCTGGGTTGTATGAGAACTGTATGTTTAACTTTATAAGTAATGGCTAAGCTATTTTTCAAAGTGATTATATATCCCTTTACATTTATTCAGTAGGGTGTATTTTTACCCCCTGTCTCCAGATGAAAACCTAGAGGATTCCAGAACATTGCTGGTAACTTTTCAGCAATATAAGTTTGTCTGGTCAATAATTAAAATATCTAGAACCATGTATAATAAAGCTTTAATTTTGTTTTAAAGTTCTCCTCTCTTCCAGCTTAGACTATTGCAAGTTACAGTCAGGCGAGGAGGACATGAACAGCTTCTTTTCTCTTTTACGGCCAGTGCTTTTTGTTCCTACTGTTCTAGCTTGCTAGTATTGAACCTCTTACAGATTAGAGCTCTGGAAAGGGAAGACAGGGGAAGGGAGGAGTGGGAAAGGGAAAATGAAAGTTCTTACCGATTATTACTGTTGTATTTTCTAACATCATTGCTTCCTAGATGTGACACATTTTTAAAGCTTACTCTTTCACTGGGGTACTTGGTGAGTTCCTTGGAGATCGTCGTCATCACTGGAGACATTCTGCACGTTTCTATTCCAATTGCTTGTTTGCGTTTGTGATACCTCAGACTCTTCTCTGCTGAGATGTGTTTGCATACTTGGGCAGCCCTCCTGGACTGAATTCATAACAGCCCTATGCCATCTCTCTTGGATATATGTATATGTGTGGCCCTCATCTAAATCTGTAGGAAACACTTAAACTTTCTCGGTCCAGATAAATTCTGAGGCTGAAGGCTCTTTCCAATGCAGTAGAGCTTTTTCTTTGCTTCTGCCATTAGAGCAGCTAGCCAGTCACCTGCCTTTGGGTTGTGTTTTTTTTTTTCTTTCCCCCTCGGGTATGGAATCAGGCCCCTGTCTATTGGGCCTCCAAAATGGAGGCTCGTGGTAAATTCCAGGAGTAGACGAAGAGTAGAGGCACTCTCAAATTATTCTCCTCCGTGACCATTTCATACCCTCAGAGTGAGTTAGAAGACTGAGTCAATTACTTTGTAAATCCTAGTCTAGCACTTCTCTTTGGAATTTGGTATCCATTGTTAAACTTGCCAGATTTAGCAAATAAAAATATAGGACATCCAGTTAAATTTTTTTCATTTTTTAACATTTTTTATTGATTAATAATCACTTTACAATGTTGTGTCAAATTCCAGTGTTCAGCACAATTTTTCAGTCATTCATGGACATATACATACTCATTGTCACATTTTTTTCTCTGTGAGTTATCATAACATTTTGTGTATATTTCCCTGTGCTATACAGTGTAATCTTGTTTATCTATTCTACAATTTTGAAATCCCAGTTAAATTTTAATTTCAGATAAACAGCATGTGATTTAGTATAAGTATGGCCCATGTAATTTTATACTAACAAATTTTATTCACTGTTTATCTGAAGTTCAAATTTAACTAGGCACCCCTGTATTTAATCTGGCAACCCTCCTATTGCGTTTGCCAAAACTTCTGCTTTGACATGCTATTACACAGAAAATATGTATTAGGAGTTTCTAACTTGCAGTTAGATGACTGAGAACTTTCAGAGTAGGAGATGCTGAGAAGAGTGAAGAAGTTTAAGACATTATAGGAAATAGAAGAAGGATTTTTGCTATTTTTCAATAAAAATATTTCAAAGACATCTTAAATTAGTAATAATAGGCACTATATGATCAGCTACTATTTACTATCCTCCTCTTGTTTTTCCTCCCTAAAGTCTCTTCAAGGTCTTTCTCCCCCAAAAGAGGACTGTGTTTATTTTACTCTGTGGCAGTTAAAGTGGAAACTAAGAGACTTTCCCTCTGGTTTTGGTTATTTCTACCATCCTTTGGGTCTTTTTAAACAATCACTCTTGCTGAGCTGTCTTCTCTGACTCCTATGTTCTCCCATAGCATCTTGTAATTAACACTATCCTAGCCCTTATAATTTTATTGTATTGTAATTGCCTTATTATATGGTTCCCCTGATTTTAGACAATATGTTTTAGGGAGATGAGCTGTCCATTGCACTCAACTGCCTCTATTTTTGCTCTGCCTGCTTTCCTTTCAAGAATGTTTACTGACTACTTACTGTATGCCAGGTATTATAACTAGGCCCTGTAATACAATACAGGGAAGGGTTCAAGAGGCCATGGATGTCAGGCAGAAGGAACAATATGTGCAAAGATCCAAGGCCAATAATATATTTCTTCTTTTGCTTTATCTCCTAAATTAAAAAAATAAGATATTTGATTTTGTTTCATTAAATAATCAAACAAAAACCTCCCTGCTCCCCAGTTCTCTTTCTTCCCATTTCCAACAGGAGTGACTAGAACTAAAGTTTCTCTTCTTGCCTTGATGTGTTATGTGATGCTTGGAGCTATTGTCATCTTTGGCAACCCTGAGGTGATACCCACAGGACAAAAAGACAATACACCAAGAATCACAGAGGAGGAAAATAAGTAAAACCCTATCCTTGATGACAGGTTGCTAGAACAACCCTGAGTACACCTGTCTTTTTGTTTGATGAGCAATAGAAGACTTGATAGTTTCAACCATCCTTGGTCAGAGATTCTGTTGCTTGCAGCCCAAAATATTACTGACTTATTCAGTTTATACTTTTTCCCCTCAGAAAAGCTTTTCCTAATCTACCCTATTGCCCTTATGTGCCATTTCTCCAAACTCCCTATCTTAAGCTTTTTACTCTTACTATCCTAAGCTTATTACTCTATCATTGTATTTACCACATGTATTATAATGATCTGTTTATGCCTGTTTCTTTGTATCCTCAGAGGTCTGACAATTTGCTATTAGAGATGTTCAAAAAAGTGCAATGTCAAATGAATGAATAAATCTATATTTCTGTCTCCAAAGAGGTAATAATCAAAGCAGGGGGTGAGGAGATATTGAGGAATTACAAAAGACAACAACTATCAAAAGGGAAGTTTTAAAGAACTGGACTCTGTTAGGGCAGAGGAAGCTTTGGAAGTTGTAGGCTATGTGGTGCAATTTTTATTGCGGGAAGCACTACTACCTGTTAAGTAATAGTAATAAGAGTAGCACTTCACAATTGTATGGTGCTTTTCACAAACAGTGAAAATTTAGACCTCACAGCCATCCTGACGAGGTAAATAGAGCAAGCATTTTAGAGAACAGAAAGCTGGGGCACAACCAAGATTTCAAATGAGTTCTATATGCTATACTAAAGACACCTGAAATTTACCTTAAGCTAAATGGCTTAAATATTTCTCTCTCACTGAGTTAA